ACCCATTCCACCCTCATCTGGGAGGCGTTCCAGGTAAGGAAATGTTGCTTGAGTTCGGACAAACAACTCTAATCATGCCCTAGGACGTTACGCAAACCGCATCAAGAACTCCAGCTTCGTGATCGACGGCCAAGAGTACCACGTTACACCCAACGAGAACAACAACAACGACACGCTACACGGTGGACCAGATGGATGGGACTTTGTACGTCGCTAGCATGGTTTGGAGACTGAAAATTACTTACGCATCTGTAGAGGAACTTCACAGTTGTCGCGCACACGACCGACTCAATAACCTTCTCGATCGTGGATCCCGATGGCAAAGAAGGCTTCCCTGGTGAGGTTGTCAGCTACATAACTTATACGCTCACACCGCATACTTGGCACCTCAAGATGGTAGCTCTTGCGACTACGAAGAAGACGCCAATCATGCTGAGCTCGCACGTATGTTAACTTGCATCGTTATCTATGGTGGCTAGCTAACGATATCAGACGTACTGGAATCTAGACGCTTTTGCGAACCCGGATACTCCTACGGCTTTGAACCATACGCTCTCACTGCCATATTCTGGCCAGCGTATTGGTACTGACGGTATCCTGATTCCAAATGGTACCATTCTTCCTAACCTACAGTACGACGTGAATGACTTCTGGTCTGCACCAAAGCAGATTGGCGCGAATTTCACCTCACCTGACCTTCTCGGTAACTGCGGCACCAATTGCACTGGCTACGACACCTGCTACCTTGTCAACCGCGCTCAGAATGGCCCCTACGACTGGCGGACTACAGGCTCCGTAGCTACTCTTTCGAGCCCCTGGTCTGGCATCCAAGTTGATATCTTCACTGATCAGGATGCTTTCCAAGTATACAGCTGCGGCGGACAAAATGGTATGTGCACCTTACGAGAAGTCAATCCTAACTGTGCATACTGACAACATGCAAAGGTATTTTGCCCATCAAGTCAACGCAAGGTCTTGACGGTCGATCACGCGTCGTTGAACAATTTGGCTGCATTGTCATGGAAGTGGAAGATTGGATCGATGCTATCAACCAGCCAGAGTGGCAGCGAGACAAGAAGAACATCTTCGGGCCAGGTGATGACCCATATGTCCTGGAAGCAGCATACGTGTTCTCGGTGAAAAAGTCGTCATAAATCCGCAATACTGAGTTGTAATGGTATGGAGACGAGTCTAAAGCATATTACAGATGACTCTTAATCCCTGATATTGATAATGGACATGACCCAACCGGGCAACCATAAGTGCAATTTCTTTCTGTCTTCCGTTTGTTAAATTCTCGGTGAAGTTGCGCACTTGAAATTCATCACTAAGCCTGCCACGGCAACGGCCCAATCTTGCCGAGCTTCAAAACATCTCAACTGACCGTTAATGAAGCGCACGACCTCGCTACCCCTCCATCTACCCACCTCTCCCTTCCTCTTCCATTCACCTGGGCGGCCATTCAAGACGCTGCTTTCTACATCATGGACACTCCGCTAATCTCCGAGGTCAGCAGATTAGTTACGATTAAGAACCGTACAGCAGCCACTCGCACGACCAATAGCCGAGATCCTTTGCCAGTAGACCAGACCAATGCGATTGCGCCCACTCGCAGCGATGGTTTAGGTCAACCTGCGCAATCATGCTCACCACAGCACAGCCGTGACCCAAGGACAAACTTCACCCCGAATGAAACGCAACGCAAGAAACGACGGGTGCGCATCAGGAGCCCGTCCTTCTTATTCGGGACCCGAGGCTCGACTGAGTCGAAGCGGAAGAAACAGACAGGGAGCATCGCAACCTCTTCTCAAACAGATAGGACCACAGCCAGCATATGGGAAAGTATTGATACACTCCCACTCACGGCACCAATGAGCCTTGGTCACAGCAGCATGAGGACGTCAGCCCTTCGAAGGCGAGATTTTCTGCAAGACAGTGCGCGAGAGAGCCAGGAAACGCTTTCGCCAACGAACTACAAGTCATCGCCAAAGGGGAGCCTTGCTCAGGACAGCAGAAGGTCGCCACTCCATCACAAGCAAGACAGCTCGTGGACGAGCCTCTCAAAGGAGCAGGATATATGTTCGCTCATGTCCCGTGAACTGTCTCTGCGAGAAGTTTTGGAGGAAGGCAGTCCACCCGCATCAATATCCCCGAAGCGAGATAATCCAGCAGTCCAAGGGCATTTCGTTCCTTCCTTGACACCACTAGACACACCTGCTACGTCGACTCCGAAAGAGCTGCAGGAGCAACCTCGGAAGAAAACTCCGATGCCTCCCAAGAAACAGGGAAAACAGAAGTCAAAGACTGGTCGCCTCGTGTTCGCACCTACTCCATTTGGTTACGATGAACCACCAGTATCAACATCTTCCTCAGCTCTGTTAGACGAGAGGCTCGACCGGGCTCGGAAATTACGAGATCAAGAGCAAGAGAACACTGAGACGCCCACCAACAAGCGAGATGAACGGAAATCCAAGATAGCGTTGGAAACACTTGCACCTGCTTGCGATTCTTACGATCTACCGGCATTGACAGCGTCTCTTGCAACATTGTCCGATCAAGACTCCGAAAGTTCGACCAAGTCGAAGAGGTGCGAGCGACGACTTCAATTGACAGGTCCACCTCTCTTGAAGGAGCTTCCGAGCATCACGTTCACACCAGCTACCCCAGCGACGCTCGCGCCGCATGAGTGGGCAATATCTCGTACGGGTCTCCCTGCACTTCCACTTGAGGCAGCACATATGTGGGAGACGCCTTTCCCTGGAAATAGCAGAGAGCTGACTCTCAGGCTGTTGCAATGGCACGAGGGCATGCGGAAGCAATTCCTCTTCTCGGCTCCTGCAGGATCCCGAGCCCTACCGGAGCATCCAACGTCCAGGAGACCTGTCAATGTAGCCCTTGTCATGATGCAGTTGTGGGAGACCACGCGAGATGGACCAAGCGAGTGCAACAAGGATGTTTACTGCATCGGCCCTGGCGAATATGATGCCATGATCTACTGTGAGGTCGATGTTGTCTCAGAACGGCGAGCGCCGCAAGAGAAGAAGCCAAACCAGAAGTCGAAGATGTCGAAAGTATTTCAGAAGCTAAGAGGAGGACAGGAAGAGGAGTTCGACACAGTAGAGAGGAATGAACGCTGGGCATTCATCGTCGTCAAGGGCAAGAAGGAGAAAGGCGACTATGGTGCGGCTCCCTATCTCACGCTGGCATTCCGGAAAGATGATGTCGCGAAGTCGTCAGACTGTCTCTTCACTGTCTACCCTGATGAGGTCCCATTGCCTGAGTCTACGCGCAACAGTTTCGAGCCGGACTCAGAGCTGGAGCCAGAGCCAGAACCACTAACCCCGGCGTTTGAGCCACAGCCAATCCACCGCTATGCCTCGATGCCTGCAATGCGCCGTGCGTTCAGTTCCAGCAATCTCGGTCATGGCCCATCTACGCACACTCTCCGCCCCTTGCGTACCGTGTCTAGCCTCGATTACATCTCTCCATTGGCGATCCCCGCAAACTCTTCAGTACTTTCACTACCACCGCCAACCTATCCACCGGTAGAGATTCGCGAGGATGGATGGACGGTGCGAAGGACTACCTTCTGGTTGAAGAAGACATTGGTGTGTGTTGAGGGCTTCAGGGTCGACTTGACGGCGTTTCGTGAGTGGATTGAGGCTGTGGGTAGAGGTGAGGGGAAGATGATGGTCTATTGCGAGAGTGAGAGGATCATCTTGTGAGCGAAGTTGAATGGGTGGCATACTTTGGAGTTTTGTATATGCTGGCGGGAACAGGATGCAATTGTAAGATGAGTGATGAAAAGCGAATGGCTGTTGAATACTACCCGATGCTACCTAGGTAGCTGGCGAGTCCTTTGGATACTACCTTGCGATACGAGAAATGCCTACTCATAGGTAATTAGCGAGTCCTTAGATACTTTCAGGCACTATGACAGATGCCTATTTTGGTCCAATACATGAACTTCAAACATGACTTATGATGGTGAAACATCCTCTGCAAGGCTGCCTTCCTGCTCACGTTGTGCAAACACTAACTCCAAACATAGCTCTTCTTCATCGCTATTAGATCGGTACTGAACTCTAACCGACTTCGCCTGTATTTGACTAAAACATCTACCGATGGGCGCCGACTGCCAAAATTACAGGTTTCCGTGCTGGTAGACCTTCAATGACCAGACCATTGGGGTAATTGAGGGGGCACGGAAGGAAATGCAAAGCAGCATGAGAAGAGACACACTCCGCTCTCCTGTCCCTTCTGTCCTTCTTGCGAAGAGATCTGCTAGACTCTCGACGCCGTCCGCAATAGCGACCTGCTGGTACACTGGTTCATCGATCGCCGCCGATGTGCATTCGGCCTGAATAGTGTTTAGAGGGTCTAAAGTTGCCATCGCGTAGCTGCTGGAAATTCCGAGTCTTCAACGGTAAGTTTTCGAAGTTAGAGAGTGGATGCAGTGGTTGAGACGTAGCGTATCGTAGCCATGTAAGATGGTGTCCTGTAGGATAGCAAATACGCTTGAACTCTTTGGTTGATACATGACAACGAGTGCGACGGGAAGAAGCACACAATAGCCACCATGTCTATAGCCTTGGACGGGATCTATCTACTCAGTATGCGGAGAGGGAGTGAACGGTTACGAGTCGTAAAAGACGCGACGTGGTGTAGATCTTGAGACCAATCAACTCTGACAAGCATGTAATGCGAGAGCACCAACAACACATAAGGGCACATAGTAGCTCGATTGTTGAACAGTATGATCGAGCTGGGGAGGACCAAGTTGATTAGCACCAGCGGGCCAGATATCGTACGTCTATTGTTAGATGAGTTCGACAGTTCAGGTACAGCCAACCACTGCTGACTCTTTGACGAGCCCCCATCCAACCCCGCAACTCTCGCTTCACAGCCCCGCTCCGCCACACGGCCATCCATCCTCCATTTCCAACTCTCACCATCTTTATATACGTCATAATTCAAAATTTCACCATCAATCAAAATACGGCTTCGTGGTCTAGTGGTATGATTCTTGCTTTGGGACGTCACGTGCTCAAATCTGCAAGAGGGTAAGCGTCAACCGAGCTCCTTCTCCTGCGCAATCGCTAACATCAACAGCCCCGCGTTCGAATCGCGGCGGAGCCCTCAGTTGGTACACAACAGATCTTTTTTTGCAACCTTTTCGTAATTTGGCGCTTTTAGGCTGAGGATTAGAAGTTGGGTTTTGGTGGTGCGGCGGTTCGAGTCTGTGTATGCGCGCGTCTTTTATATTATTGCTGGGGGCCTGGGAATATGGGTTTTATTTTTCGAAGCAACGGGAATGCCTGATATTGCTTTGTTTATTGAGCTAGGTAAACACGAAAGGAATTTGTGATGAGTTGACTCGAAGTATTCGAATGTATGTGAGAAACGGGAAATAATATAGGTGACAATTAAGAACTTCTTTTCTTGCTCAAGGTAAATCAGAGTCTCTTTGTTTGCGATTTTTTGTTGTTCAGATTCAGATTGCTGTACAAAGCCGAAGAATTGATCTTATTGCGCAAACAGAATGGTATCATAAATATACACCCGAGTACTACCAAACGCCTTGAGAAAGATTCCATCATATCGTCATACAGCTCGTGACAACAACCCAGTCTCATTCTCGAGCAACTATCTCGGCCATTGAACTTCCATACCGCCGACACGTTCAACGACTTTACCCTTCTTCTCATCCTTCCTCAATTCCGCGCCCATGATTATAGTAGCTAGTCTTTGCACAACCTCCAGTCCCTCGATCGCAGTCCCTGCCGGACCGGGACCGCAATCACCAAGCTGGATGCTCTTCCCGGTAACGCGCTCGTACTCAGCGATATCCTTCAGCGTCAGCAACTGCGTGAACACAGCGCAGAGCACAACCAGCGGCTTCGTCATCGTAACACTGTAGCCCCAGCTACTCAACTTTGCGCCAACGAAGGGATGATTGTTCGTCTGCAAGAAGCGCGCGAGAAGGTCGTTGTTCGTGTTCGTAGAGTTCGGAGATGAAGATGGAGCGAAAAGAGTTGGTTGCTTCTTGTGTGCTTGGTATAGCTGGTCGAGTGCTTTGTAATGCGTCTTTGTCCATGGTTCGACATTGGGCAGATGATCGAAGTCGGCGATAGCTGGGTGCTGAGGTGGTGGCGCAGGAGTACCGATTGCATTCCAGAGCGTTGAGGAGAGCCGACTGATGAGGCCAGGTCGCTGTGGTCGAGAGTATGCTTCTTTTACTAATGGCTCTTGGGGCTCTTCTTCTACCGGCGGCGTGATTGCGATTGCTGGCTTCGAAACAATTGGCTTCAGTGGAGATGGCTTTACAAACAGCTTAGCTGGCGAAGGCTTGGACATCGCTCCCTCGCCAAACAGAGACGGATAGTGCTTCTTGGGCGCAAGGATACTATCTTCAAGCATCTGTGGCGGTGAAGACGGCAACATCATAGTCGAAAGATGACTCCGCGAGTTCTCCGTAAGCTCTGTGATGTCGCCCAGGGTCCTATCCTGAGGCTGATATGCATACGCATGCGCATCTGCTTCTTCTCGTACACGTCGAAGACTGGAGTTGGTCACTTCCATCTCGTTGTAAAGCTGCTGCTCGTCCGAGGCAATGGTGTCGTCGACCTGAGTGCGAAATGGCGAGCTCTGAGGAAGGAGCGACTCGTCGAACTGCTGGTAGCTGTTGTCCGAATCTGATGCCCGTAGCTCCTGCCTTAACGGACTGCTGCGAAATGGAGCAGCCTGCACAAGCGCGATTTGAGGTGGCGTATCCCTGAAGGGATCTGGCTTGGCTGGTGTTCTCACGACAGGTGACGACTCTGGCAGGATGCTCCCCCCTTCTTCGATAAGCTGTGTGAGATCAACGTGATCTGCTGTCATCCTACGCCTCGCTTCTCTTGTGCGGTTGCGGAAGACATTTGGTAGGTTGGACTGAAAGAACATGCCGGTGTCGTCACTCGCTACACTGGCATCGTCTTCCTCGTATACCTCCTCAGGAATAACAGGCTCGAGGACCTTCCCCTTCCCCTTCTCCAAAGCGCTGGCTTTGGGCTCATCTGACTCGGTCGACGATGGCGTGTCTTCTGGGATCTCTGCTTCATCACTGTAGTTGAAGTCGCTGGAGCTCCTGCGGCGCCATGACTTTGGAATCTTAGCACGCGCGGGCTTTATAGGTTGCCCATCGTCAGCGAACAGATCTTGAAGCTGGGGCGTCTTCTCCGGTTGTTGGGCGCCAGCACCCCCATTGTCGTCCTCTGAACCTGGGGACCTGCTGGCCTCCTCTTGCCAGATATCGCCGTACCCATGCTGAGCTGGTTCGGGCGCGACAAAAGACCCAGCCCTGGAGAGTACGTTGTTTCGTTCGACGTTAGCGAAGGACAGCTGCTGGGCACCACTGCTTTCTGCTCTGACTGGGGGAGGTGTGTCTGCCCGCCAGCTCATCTCATCCACGCTTCCTGCAGGGCTCATCAACTGGCTTTCTTCTTCCAAAGCCTGCAGTGACGGATATCGAACCTCGATCTCCTGTGTTGATGGCGGAGGCGGAGCGAGTACGTAGTCTTGGTCTTCTGGCGTCAACAAACGGGAATTGCGCTGCTTCGCTTGACTAGAGAACACATCATCCGTTTGCTTTCGCGAAGCGGCCACCTTGCAGGGACTTGACAGAGCTGGAGTAGACTCCCTGCTTCGTCGCTCATGGTTTTGCCTGGCCAGTTGCTCTCCAAGTCGAAGTCCGGCTTGGAGTTCTCGTCTAGTGCCCTCGCTGAACCCGCGGAACAAATCGTCCAGGCGATCTCTCTGCTCAACCAAAGCCTCTTCCGGCGACAACGCGGTTGGAGTGATGCGAACTGGGTCGAGAACACCTTGAAGTTCGACTCCCGCTTTCACAACCCGCGCAAGTTTTGGAGTTGACGCGGTTGAATGACATGACAAACCAGGCTCTATAGCCGGCGGATTCGATGGTGACCGTTCGTAGTTGACCGGGGTCACCTCTCGTTGACGTGAGGCTGGCGAAGAAGCCTGAGGTTGGGAAGTCGTAGTCGTTTCTGAAGGTGGTGGTGTTATTCTCGGGCTAGGCAAAGGGCTACTTCGAGTTGCACGAGATGCTCTACTAGGAATGTTGAGGTAGGAATTGTCCAAACTGGGTCCCGATCTGGCGAATGCTGGTGCGTGCCTTGCGATATCCAAGGCCGGACTGCTCAACCCCCCTCCACTGGGCAGCGAGTCTACCGATACCATGCTAAAGTTCTCACTGTCTAGGATGGTTGTATCTTCAGGGCCCCTAGTAACACCCTCATCGAATGCGAAATGAGTGACGTCCCGAAAGTCGTCGTCATCATCATCATCGCTCATATGATTTGGAATGTCTGCAGTTGCTTCGATGAAGTTGACCTCTTGCTGCAAACGCTCCTTTGATGGTACATGGATGGGACTCTTTGACCTCTCGTCTGCACTGGTAGTGGGAGTTGGGGCCTCCACCTCATCATCCGAAGAGTCCTCGAAGACGATCTTCCCCTTTGCGGCCGGAGTGTTCTTCCTTCTGGCGATCTTTCGAGATGTATCGTCTCGTGACGGAGTGCTCGTGTGCGGCTCCTTGGAAGGAGACTCATTGGGCTCCGCGAAGGTTACTGTTGCTGGAGTCCGTCTTTCTCGTGCAATAGCAGGCGTAGCAATCGGCTCTTGTGCTTCTGGCACATCTGCTTCTGGCTCAATCGAGACGAAGTCATCGGCAACCGTATTGTCCACTCTACTTGCCTCAGTGTCAAAGTCTGCAACTGTCCCATCATCCTCGACTGCTAGCTGGATGCTCTTCCGTGGGCGTCCTCGTTTCTTCTTGGGTGGCACATCAGTCGACGACTCGGCAGCGTTGTGCTCGGTCGAGTCGACATCAGTGGCTTTTGCCTTTGACTTTGATCTTCGGCGCACCGGTGTACCGCTCCGTTTGGGCTTCACGCCTTCTGACTTCCTTGGTCTACCGCGACGCTTGACGGGAGACGATGCATCCGCGTCTTTTAGAGGTACGGTGGTTGTCTTCGTCCGCGTCACGCGCTTGACTGTCGGTGACTGCATGTTCTCTCCGTCCGATCCGCTTCCTGGCTCCGCCTCCACTGTGACCTTGATCTTCCACGGGCTTGCTCCTCCAGGCCGGCCCGTGTTCATTATCATCGACTTCGACGGCGAGGAGAGATCGAGAAGCTGCTCCGTTATGCTCATCCGGCGACCCTGTTTGTTTGGCGAGCTGTCCGCAAGAGGCTCTTTCGTCGGGCGCGTCGATTTGCGTCGCGGCCGCGAGTTGTTTATGCGCAGCGACGCCGCCAGCGGGTCTGGCGACGATTCCGGGTGGCTGCTATCGAGGTCGTCGCTCAACATGGCTGCTCGCGCGCATGCTGCCATTGTGTCTTTCGGTCGCGCGTCTGCCTCGTGGAATGTGTTGATGTGGGTCGTGGATTGGCGTTGGGCCGACGTGTGGCATGCATTCTGGCTGATCCTTGTTGTGCCGCGCGTTGCTCAGACAACCATCTAATCAGATCCCTGTCTGCCTTGTCGAGCACAACACCGTCATGGAGGCGACACTGCCAACGGCTGGATGGGTATGGGCATGAAGGCGCAATGGGCATACACGGGTACGGCATACTTCTGATACAATGCGACAGCTGCTCACCTTTGCAGAATCTACAAAGAGATTGGCCCCGGCGAGAGGACAGCGCTATCGAAACTCGCCGTCGAGAAGTTCGAGCAGACTGGCAGACCGCTGCGCATTGCTATCGACGTATCCATATGGCTTTTCCAGATACAAGCAAGTAAAGGTACGGATGCGCACCCTTTCTCGGTTTTTGCTCGCTCTAATCATTGCATTCCAGGCGGCACGAACCCTGCGTTGCGTACCTTCTACTACCGCCTCCTGCGCCTCATATCGCTATCCATCCACCCCGTCTTCGTCTTCGATGGGCCGAACAAGCCTCCTTTCAAACGCAACAAGCGTACTGGCCCCAATGTTGCATCTATACCCGAATTCCTAGCGAAACAGCTCCTCAAGCAGTTCGGCTTCCCCATCCATCGTGCGCCTGGAGAAGCAGAGGCTGAATGCGCGTTGCTACAAAGGGAAGGGATCGTAGACGCAGTGCTGAGTGAAGATGTTG